CCTTTATACTCCACTTTTATTACCATTACCTCTTTCTCTTTCATATTTTTCATTTACTCACTACCCGTTACACCTTTTACACTACTCCTATTACTTTCATCTTAAAACCTGTGCCAAATCATAAGAAGACTAATATTAAAGAACGGAGGGAAAATTAGTTGTCCGAAAAGATTTAACCTCAGTAGTTCTTGAATCCCCGACCCGACAGAGTATATGAAAGTTGTAAATCACAGTCATCATGGTGATTCACTTCGATGAATTTTAACGGTGCTAGACCTTATATTCACGCTCATTGTCTAAACTTTTCAAATGTGTAATTTTCATGTTAATTGGTGTGTTTGGTTACTCTGGTATTGAATATTGTTTGATATTTTATGAAATCGAGTACTAATTATCTAATAAAGATAATTAATTGAATATTTAATTAGTGAATACTAAATAGTCCTTTTTAATAAATATTAGTCGCACATATTACGATATTAGTCTTTTTTTTATAAATAGTGAATATTTATGCGGGTAGTCGCACATATTAGTCTTTCTTATAAATAATGAATATTTTTAAACTCTACCCATACATTACATAAAAATGATGTGATGATAAATTTGATCTGATCACCATATTGTCTGCAATGCTATAATTAATTTTAAGTACGTGAAACTTTAATGTGCACTGGTTAGCACTTAAGGACGTAACACAAAGGAAGTTATGCGATGTGCAAATACACTTTATTGCATATGCATAATATAAAAACGCACTCATCATAGTATTTTTATTCAAAACTTCTCCTTCCGTATTGGTGATTTAGCCACCATATTCATGTTTATAGAAAACTATCAGGGTCGGTCGTCCTGCGAATTTCTTGACTTATGGGCGATTCTAAGCACGAGGAGCTAGCTAGACATTCATGAATTGGTAACCCCTCAATCTTACCTCAAAGGAATGGCACTACTTGTGTAACACCCGCCCCAAAAGGGCCCGAGTTAGTTATTTTCTAGACCTTTAGTACTATGCTACAAACCTTTACAAGCATACTCTCGTGCAAGCACGTTTAACTTAGAGTTCTTAGCTAATACATCTTTTTGGTATGAGTAATAATATTAATTTTTTTAAATTAATCTCGAGTATTATAACTTGTGCCCTATATTTGATTTAATTTTGGAACAGACTAAAAAAGAAAATTGGAAGAAACTACAGGATCGATGGAAAATATTTTAATACAAAGTTATACTCCCTTCGTCCCTCATCACTTTTTTTAGTTTGCCCGACACGTGAAACAATAAGATAAAATTGTTGAGATTTGTGCAGAGAAGAGAGAAACTTATCGACAAATTAATTGACTAAAACAAAAATAATCAATTTTGGGACATTCACTTAATCTTTTATACTATCGTACATGACTTCACTTATAGTATCGTTCATGACTTCATTACATTGGTGAAAAGAAAAGAGAGTCATTCACTGAAATTAATTATGTATTTCTCCTCACAAAAAAATTGTAGTTCCTTGACGAAAGTATAAACCGTCAATATTATTTTAAACAAATTCTATATATGCTTCTTGATGAAATATTATTTCTATTACGAATATATATCAATGACAAATTTCTATCATTTCCGTATTGAATTGATTTTATTTTTACAATAATAATTTAGTTCAGGTAAAAAGAACATTAACTATGACAGAGTATACATCGGTCAACAAACTATGACAACTCTTCACGGCAATTATGGGAACTAATTAAGGAATATATCATTTTTGACAAACTTTAATTTTATCATACACCAATTTGGAATAGGACTAGTAGTAGACCATCTTTTTCGTTCACTGAAGGAATATAATTATCTTCGCAGATAATCCAAATGTTAAAAACCAAACAAGCTAAGAGATGAAAATAGTCATGAAAACAATTGGAGATATATGGTTGTAGCATTTCTTGATGGGATGGCGAATGATGCTTAATAGATCAAGAAGACATCTCACACATCTATTAGGCCGTTTGCCAACACTATTTTTCGGCTTATCGAGCTATCAGCCAACTTTTTCACCAAACACGTAACTTTTGTTTTCACGCACTGAATTGTGTAATAAGCAGAAAAAGTAAGATTGGAGTTACTTTTCTGACTGTATTGGCTGAAGTTACTGTAGATGACCATTTTAGCTATTTTTACACATAATTTTTTCTTTATTTTATTAATAAAAATATATATTTTTTTTCTTAAATCAGCAGAATCAGCCAATGCAGCCACTTCAGCCAGAACTTCATAAATTTCAGCAGAATCAGCCAAAACAGCCGATTTTCATGCTATCAAACGGGCTCTATATATACTACGTATATGACGGTTTCAATTTATAAACCATGATAAAATTTGAATTTAATTCGTAATATTTAAATCATTTGATCATAAAAAATAATCCATTAAAACGGACGAATTAGATCTATTTCACATAAAAATGCAGTGCGAAACTTGTAATATTTGGAAGTTTTATGTGCAACAAGGTTTTATGTTACTGAGTGTAACCATGATCAACAAGGTTTGTATAATTGTATATAGACTTACATTTGTATATAGAATAATTTTGAAGCAGTTATGGACTTATGGTTGCTTCAAAACTTCACGGAGTAAGTGCTATAAACTTGATTACATTTGTATAGCATTGGGAGCAAGACCAACTAAAGTTTATAGAATAATTCGGAGTTGCTGCAAATCCGATGAGCAACCCAATGAATAAATTAATTTGATGCTTCAAATTTATGATGTGGCTCTAAGAGCAACCGCAATGCAGTGCAGTCTAGTGCATATAAAATATGTCATATGTCAATTAATTAAATGGATTTCTAATCTACATGATGCAAAGTGGACTAACGGGGTTTTTAGGTATTAAAAATTCTTCCAATGCGTGCAGTTATGGTCTAGTCAATTTGTATATATGGCTTAATATGAGTGGATGTATTAATCGGTAGTATTTAATTTGAGGTTTCTTTTGAATTGTTTTCAATACCAGATCAGACCATATCAAATCAAACTTCCGTAGTAATAAAATACACAGAGACCGATCATTTACCAGACCAGACCTGACCTGACCAGTTCAGACCAAACCAAACAAGATCAAATCACACCAGACCAGACAGTAAATTTCAGTCCAAAAGAGAACATCCTAAATATGGGAGCAATGAATTAAATTGGATAAATTAATGTGGTGGTATTTTCATAAGTTAATTATAATATTTACAAATATAATGGGGGGAAAGCATTTCGTTGTTTGTACGATATTTTTTATTTCGATATTTCTGTGACAATTCCATTTTTATATTATTTTTTTTTGCAATACTGATAATATTCATCAGTGTCCGTATGATAATTTTCTTTGTTTGCAATTTGTTGGTCTGGTTTGATTTAATCTGGTTTGGTCTGATCTGGTAAATGTCTGGTCTTATTTGGTAAATGTCTAGTCTCTGTGTAGTTTATAACTACGAAAGTCTGATGTGGTCTGATCTGAGACTGAAAATAGTCCAAAAGAAAACATCTTTATCGACTTATTGTGATAACTTTATTTTAATCTTTTTGTGTCTTAAATTGATGAACGATTTCTGAGTCTTTTTTTATCATCAAAATAGGCCTTTATTCATATCAAAAGATTCAGGATCATTACATCAAGCAAAAGGAAAATAAAACTGACATCAACTGAAACTCCAACAACTACGACTGTAACCCTATGGTGAAACTTTGAGACGGTCACCTCTGAAAGAGCAACATGAATCGCTAACCATGTAATGAGCTTGACAGATCCAAACATGTTCCCATCAATCCAACCATACCCAATGACATAAAGAGATGCTAAAAACTCAAACAAATTGTCAAAACCAACAACAAAGATGAACACAAGAAAACAAATGACAAACAGATAAAAATTACTAGGAAAACTTTCACGGACTCTAGCACCTCGTACAACCCATGGTGGTGGTTCAGGCGAAGGTCAGACCGTCGCTCGATTGATACCCTCTTTCAGTGGCGTACCTGCCGTATGACCCAAATTCATGTCATCGAATGGAGCGTTCAGCCTCTCCACGCCAACCATGTCCCGATCATCCCTACGTCTCTCTCTCTCGCTTCTTCCACCATCTTCTCGTTGGCACGATCATCCATCCCGAGCTACGTCCAAACCACGGCAATCCGGTGCAATGCTGCATCGATTGAAAGAAACGCCGCACCAGGGCGGCGAAGTAAAAACCCTACGCGAAAGATCTGACTAGGGAAACACTGACTGAACTTCGATCAAGAAATGAACGATTTCTGAGTCTGACGTGGTCTTTTATATCAACATGTCAATTAGTTAGGCTAAAAAAGAAAAAAAAAAGGGATAAGGGTCAGATAGGGCCTCGAACTTGAAAAAAATGTCAAATAAGGCCATATTTAGGATGCTCTGTCCGGCCGACGCCATTTGGGGTGGTTCCCGGTGGAATTTTTTTATGAAATTTTTTGAGAATCTTATTCATTAAGTCTAGTTTACTCATATCAAATTTGAACTAAAAATTCAATCAGGAAGGTATTCAAATGAATTCATGAAGATAACTGCGCTTTTAACGGTACAGTTATCTTCAAGAATTCATTTGAATGTCTTCTCGATTAAAGTTTTAGTTCAAATTTGATATGAGATAACTAGACTTAATGAATAAGATTTTCAAAAAAATTCATCAAAAAATTCTACCGGGAACCACCCCAAATACCGGACAGAGCATCCTAAATATGACCTTATTTGACATTTTTTTTCAAGTTCGAAACCCTATCTCACCCTTATCTCAAAAAAAAATATCCTAAAAAACAAGGAGTATCGAAAAGATATTCATTCTTAAAATGTATAAATATTTGAGGCATAGTTGGTCATATTTCAATTTTCAAAGATTGAATGGGACACCATTTTTTGAGAAAATAAATTCCTGAAACCTGACATGTGTTTAAAAGTCACTGCTAGTGAATTTTTCTCCTCACTTGGCATCATCTATTCATCATCTCTACATTTAAAGGATGCTTAGCTGCCCTCACTTCAATACCAACTCAACTCACAACTCCCAATACCCATCCATACATCCATCTTCTAAGCACAAAACAAAATGGCCACAAACAGAACTAATATCCCTCCATTAAATCTCTCCAACAAAGATGTTGCAGATACTCAAGAAGAAGATGAAGACTACTTTGACATTGACATGGAATTGATGAACTCCTCATCTTCTTCTACAACTCCATCTTCTTCAACTTCATCATCACCCCCAGAGATGATAGAATTTGAGTTCCAAATGAGTTCCACTACTTGTAAAGAGAAGGAGCCCTCTACTTGCCCAGCAGATGACCTCTTCTACAGAGGCAACCTCCTCCCTCTGCACCTCCCTCCAAGGCTCCAAATGGTCCAAAACCTCCTCCAAACCACCACTCAAGAAGACCCCAAATGGTCAAAAAGCTCAACAGCCCCTTCTACAAATACCACTACCACTCCATTACATTCCTGCAACATTTCTCCATCTGAATCTTGCAGGGTGAGCTGTGAGCTCAACCCACAAGACTTCCCCCACTTTGAATGGTCCTCTGATTTGTCCACTTTCATTATTAGCCACCCAAAGAAATCATGGTCAAAGAAGCTCAAACTGGTCAAGAAGTCTCTCATTACTAGCCAGAAGATTAGGGATTATATTAAGGGCTTGTTCATCAAGTCTGCAAGTGAGTCTTTTCCCAATAATCAAGAACCCCCATTGCCACATCATCCAACTATAGCTACTGTTCTCAAGAATGGTGAGAAGGATGAGATTGAAGAAAATGTGATGACCAATCACAGGAGGTCATTCTCAGCAGCAATCAAAAGAACTTCTAAGAAGTCCCTCTCCTCCTCTTCTTCTTTTTCTTCATCATCTTGTGCTTCTTCATCTTCTTCTTCATCTTCATCAAGTGCATTCACATCAAATGGAGGTCATGAGCTCAAGAGAATCAGCAGTGACACTTCAGAGCTTGAGATCTCCATTGAAGCGGCAATTGCTCATTGCAGGAAGTCTCAAGAACCCTGCAAGTCGTCAAAGCCATTACTGCTGAGAGAAAATAAATCTGGGACTTCAAGTATTTTAGCTTGTAGCACTTAATTGTTGTGCTTTCCACTTTTTTTCCATGTGGCGGAGACTCAGAGAAGGAAATCTTGTTCTTAAATAAATTTGAATGTTTACTCTTTCTTTAGAGCTTTTATGTATTTTTTATTATTTTTAAATTTTAATAGAAGTAGTCAACCGAGTGACTAACAAGCTCGTTTCACATATATTGACTGAAATTGAACACATCCGTGAAATATAAACGTTTACATAAATTTTATGTAAAAGTTTAATACATTAATCACATTATTATTTAATCATCTTTGACTTGTCCATCAAAGATGATAAACTTTGATCATTTATTTTAACTAATATATTAATGTGAAACATAATAAATTTGTATTTGTTTATATAATACGGAGTAATATTTTTAGCAAACAACATTTTCATATTATCAACATTATCATTGACTTGGAAAATAGTGCGCTTTGATTTTTTTAAGAAACACACATAATTGATAATTGCAAGAGATACACTAACAAAAATTACAAATGAATACTCATTGGGCTTTGGTTTTATTCTTATGATGAAGATGATAATCAAAGATTATAAAGCCTATTTGGTAACATTAAAGGTTATGGTTTTATTTGGACTAGTTCACTTCATAGATCAGATAAGACCAAATTTCAATAATTATAAAACACACAAAATATACATCTATCAGACAAGATATAAACAAACTAGAGAAGAAAATTTTATTCTGAGTAAAAAAACATGCTTAATAGCTTGGAACTGCTGAAAATGATTAAATTATAGTTGAAGCGTCTGAATTTGATGAATTCTAAAAAAAATTACATTTAAATTATATTTTATTGATAAAATAAAGAAAATTATATTACATCTCGTCACATTGGCATTGAGAGTGTGTGTGAGCTCCTCCGAAATAAGAAAAGTAAAAAAGGTATGATTGAGAGTTATGCGGAAGAGAAGAAAATAGGAAACTCACATTATTGATTTAATGGAAATAACTTTAAATATTGCCAACTATCATCCATAAACCAATAATATCAACTATTTGAATGTAGAATAAAAGTAATATGGAGTCACTTCGTTTACAAGAAATCCAGTCATTTAAAACATCAAAATTAATATTAAACCATCACATAAATGATATTTGGAAATACAGTCACTTACTCCGTATTTGATATTTTTACTCCCTTCGTCCCGAAATTAACTTTCCACTTTCCTTTTCGAGCAATCCGGAAATTAACTTCCCACTTCCTTATTTGGCAGATTATCTATATCAAAGTAGTGCAAAACAGTGTAAAATAATGTCGAAACAATGTCAAAACAGTAAAAATTAACCCCTGGTAAATTTATTCCTTAATACGTAGTATGTGTGAAATACAAGTGAGAAGTTAATTTCGGGACAGATGGAGTATTACATTTTGATGAGTTAAATGACTGAAATTTTAGTGAAAAATGTTTTATATCACTTTTGATATACAGAGTATATTCAAATAATTGGTAATTTTAAAAATTATTTCTAAATTATGTATTATTCTTAATTCATGAAAAACAGTTTGTATTATTTAAGGTTATTTTTCTTTAATTTTGTAAGGAAAGTGTCAATTTTTTTGGGACAAACTGAAAAGTAAAGTCATCGAAGTTCAATATAATGGAGGTAGTAAAGTCATTTTCAGCAATTTCAATCAATTGAGCCAAAAAAGTAATTCTAAACTCATTATTTTGATTATCTCACAATTCAGCGTGTGAAATCAAAAATTTATTTGATACAAAGTTAATTAACTGATAAGGTTGATAACCTGAGTTATCAAATGAGTTCATAATAATCTTATGATTTTGTAGTACGTAGTATGCATTTTTTTTATAATTATGATCACTACCGAGTATTATATAGACTATTTAAAATACACTCCGTAATAACTACGGAGTACATCTTTAGATAGAAATTTTTTGGATACCAATTTATACGGAGTATGTTTTATCAAGCTATTTGGATGAATGTGAATCATAGTCATAGAATAACACGAGGCATATTTCTATTTAAAATCAAGCATGGTCAAGTGGCGGACACAAAGGGGGCTATGGGGGCTGCCGCCCCTCCAGGGAAAAAAAATTCTAGGTATATTTACCATGAATTTTTTAAGGCTAAAGGGTCAAATAGATACATGAACTAACTTAAAGTGTTCAATTAGTCCCTTATATAAGAGAGTTTGCTCGGCCGTCACCAATTGGGGCAGTTCCCGGTGGAATTTTTTGATGAAAATTTTTAAGCATCTTTTTTATTAAGTCTAGTTTACTCATATCAAATTTCAGCTAAAAATTAAATCGGGAAGGCAGTCAAATGATTTTCCAAAAGGTACTGCGTTGTTTACCTGCGCATTTATCTTCAAAAAATCATTTGACTGTCTTCCCGATTGAATTTTTAGCTGAAATTTGGTATGGATAAACTAGACTTAATAAAGAAGATGCTCAAAAAAATTCATCAAAAAATTCTACCGGGAAACGCCCCAATTGGCGACGGCCGGGCAGAACCTCCTATATAAGGGGCTAATTGAACACTTTAAGTTAGTCCATGTACCTATTTGACCCTTTAGCCAATTTTTAATATATATGTATTTGTATGTATATTCTGGTATTGTCGCCCCACTATCGGGAAATGCTGCGTCCGCCGCTGAGCATGGTGGTCTTAAATTTGTTGCTTTCTTCATTGTCAAATAATAGACCAAGAACATAAAGTGAAATTACTCGGCATTTATTATGAGATGTGATTAAGAGAAAATGGTTCAACATGATGGAAGTAAAATGAATCCTACCACGCCCATAGCAATCCGAGATTTTGAAAATGAAAATATGGGTTGTACGGAGTAGTATTTAAGTCTGTCCAAATAGTACCAAAAAACATGGACATTCAAATACAAATTCCAAGTGTGCTTGGAAATTTGAGTGACAGAACTGTACTACCTCGGTAACGGAAAGATCTTCCCACTTTCTTTTTTTATCCGTAACTAAATAATCTTCTCATTTATAAACCTTCCCATTATACCCTCAAAATTTTTAAAAATAATACACTATTCCACCTACTTTTTTTGGATTTATCCTTCATTCCACCACACTATTTTATTATCTTCCCATCATACCCTCAATAATTTATATCCCCTATCACTATTCATAATTTCACCAACTTTCCATTTGGGAAGATTCTAGTGTTACGGAGGTAGTATGTGTTTAGGCTAAAATATTACTCCCTCCCTAACTTAAGGATCTTCCCATTTCAAAAGTAGGTGGATTAAGAATAGTCAAAGAGAATATGAATTATTGAGGGTATGATGGGAAGATAGTGAAATAATGTTATGAAATGTAGGATAAATCCAAAAAAAGTACTGGGTAGTTCTAATAATGTATTATTTTCAGAATTATTGAGGGTATGATGGGAAGAATTAGAAATGAGAAAATCTTTTTGTTACAGACGAAAAAGGAAAGTGAGAAGATCTTTAAGTTACGGAGGGAGTACTCCCTACATCCCTACATTAAAGTCCTACTTTCCTTTTTCTAGTGCCCCTAAACTAAAATATCACTTTCATTCTTTTGATAAACAAATCTATATCGAACGGTGCAATATAGTGTATTCTATAATAAAATTGATCCATTAGTCAATTTATTTTCTTAATATGTGTGAAGTCAAACTGGAACTTTAATTTAAAGACGAAGATAGTACTTATTTAGGATTTTATACATCCTTTATCATCTTACTGCAAACACTTAGAGTCTGTTTGGTAACGCCAAAATTGGCGGATTCTGTTGAAATTTATGAAGTTCCGGCTGTATTGGCTTATTCTGTTGATTCATAAATAAAAATTAAAATATTTGTAATTAATAAATTAAATGAAAAATTATATGAAGAAATAGCTAAAATGATCATCTACAATAACTTCAGTCAATACAGCCAGAAAAGTAAATAGATGTGTGATTATAAGAAAGTGGAGGAGTAACACTCTTTCAGAGTACAATCTTAGTAGGACAAATCGGAAAAAGAACAATCTTGATGTGTAACACTTTAACTACAACTCATTTCGTCCCGAAATTATTGCAAACTTGGATCAGGGCTTTAAGAAAGTGAATAGATGTGTGATTAAAATTTGCTAGGAAGAAGGAAAAATATTTATGAGTCACATATTGCTATTCTGAAAAAAAAACGGATTTTAATTTTTAAACTAAAAACAAAAGTACAAGATAGTTTATGGATAGATGAGTACAAAATTACAAAGATGAGTATCTTTGTAATTTTAAAATGTCAGTTCTTAGAAAATAGAGCACAAATTTTACAGAGAAATATTTTGTTTTACCCCTAACAAAAGATTCTTCTTTTATTTCTTCAACTTTGGAGGTACAGTTGTACCATGTTCCTCCGTAGATCCTCCCCTACCTATCACACATCTTGAATCTTGATGATGACAAACTTTTCAGCAGTGCATTTTTTATATTGTTGCATTATTGCTATCTTGACCTGTCTATTTGGAAGAGAACTACTGTGCAATACTGACCTTGTGTATCCAGTAGCTTTTGCATTCAACTGCCAATCTTTTATTTTTTTCACTTTTCATAACTTCTACCATTCAACTACTAAAGATTACTGCATTGGGAAATGAATGTAAAAGTGGGGAATCTGTAAACTTTACAAAAGAAAAAGTGAAAGCTGCTATGAGCTTTCTGCACCAAGAATAAAGTCTCCCTATGGGCTTTGGCTTTATACATAGACAAATTAAGTAAAGGTAGGAGGAATGCATTAAGCCCAGAAAGAAGTGCTGAAAAAAACTAAAAAAAGTATCAGCTTTTGTGTTACTTCTTCAGCTCATATTTTGTATCCAAAATCTCATAATTCCTAGGAACACTAAATCTGGATTTTGAACAAAAAAAATGTCAAAGGGTTAGGCTAGAAATCAATGCAAAAATTAAAGACTATAGGGTCTCTAGCTAGATCAAATCTAGTACGCAGTACATAGTACTAGTGTTATGAAGATTAAAATGCATAGAGGGTTCTACATGGTTTAAGTACATCAGGGCCTGCTAGAGCCTAATTGGACCTAATCATATTCTAGGTGGGGCCCAAATAACAATAAAAATTGAAACAATCAAGCCATCAAGGTAGTGATTATTGTTTACCCGCTTTGAAACACCAAAACTTTTTATATGAGATTTTTTAGAGCCCGTTTGGTAGCACCAAAATCGGCTGTTTTGGCTGATTCTGC